GGATGCACCTGCGCCATTGCAAACGATTTTGAGCCATGTCATTCAGGGTCTCTAACCATCGGTTGCTATCATCTCGCGGTCCCCAACCAGGTAGTCTACACCTACCAACATAGCTCAGTTCACTTGTCAGTGACTTCATGGATTTGTGCCATGTTTTGGTTTGGCCGCCCCTAGCTTTCTTCCAACCTACTCCTATACCACTGAACATAGCACGTCGAGGCAGTCGGTCGTTGTGCATACGTAATATGTGTCCAAGCCATCTCAGCTGATGGAGTTTCACCACTTCATCAATTGATTTGCCATCCTTACCTAGTACCCGTTTCCTAACAACTGTGTTACTCACTCGATGGTCCCATGATATACGAGCAATGTTTCGAAGACACCTATGATCAAATACTAGTAACCTACGGATATCCTCTACTCTTACCGGCCATGTTTCACTGCCATAAAGTAGGACGGAACGAACTGCTGCGCAGTAAACACGTCCTTTGGTTGATAGACGGATATCTCGCCTACGCCATAAATGACGCAAGTTGGCAAAAGCTAGTCGAGCCTTCTGTATCCGTGCTGAGATTTCGTCACACACCAGACCACAAGGGCTGATCAGACTTCCAAGATAAGTGAAGCGGTCGACACACTCAACTACTTCACTCCCTATCACCAGTTCGGGTGTCGATGTAACCCAATCCTGAAGCAACATTTTGCATTTCGAGGGAGAGAATCGCATCCCGAACATGCTTGCATTGTTGCTTAGAGTGGTCAGAAGACTCTGCATTTTGTCAGCGTCTTCACCAAATAAAACTATGTCATCTGCATATTCTAAGTCAACAAGTGAACCTCCCGGTAGAAGTTCAACCCCTGGAAATCTAGACGAGGAAAGTGTTATCTCTAAAAGTACGTCGACGACGAAGTTGAACAAGAATGGAGAGAGTGGGCAGCCCTGACGAACACCACTTGAGGTGATCAATTCTGATGACAGTTCGCCATAAGCTCTCACTCTACCAGTTGTGTTCGAGTAGAGAGCCTTTATAAGGTTAATGTACTTCTTTGGTACTCCTTTCAGTGACAAACACTGCCATAGAACCTCACGATCAATAGAGTCGAATGCCGCCTTAAGGTCGAGAAATACTACCATTGTGGGGCGTCTGAATGTGTGTCTGTGTTCTAGAACCTGACGTAGTGTGAATATCTGATCTATACAACCACGTCCAGGTCGAAAACCAGCCTGGTTTTCTCTAGTCTGCTCTTCACGAGCTTTAGTTAGGCGTCGAAGTATTATTGAAGCTAATATTTTAGACACTATATTAGTCAAACTGATTCCTCTGTGATTGTCACAAGAGGACTTTTGTCCTTTCTTAAAAACTGGCACAATCAGTGATTGAGACCAATCAGATGGGATTACGTCCAGTTCCCAAATTCTACCTAAGACCTCGGTTAATCTCACTGCTAATACTGGACCACCATCCTTAAAAATTTCAGGAGTAAACCTGTCAGGGCCTGCTGCTCTCCCTCGTTTCAGATTTCCTATGGCTTTTTCAACTTCGTAAAGGGACGGAGGACCTACATTAACTTGCCATTCAGGTTGACTGGAGATCGTGGGAAACCGAAGTGTGGCTGAAGGCCAGTTGAACTGATCCATAAAGTGTTCTGCCCATCGATCCAATCTCCTGGATTGAGAATGAATAATATGTCCATCTTTCTCTGAGATTGTTTCGCTAACGGTCGGGTTCCTAATTCCGGTTTCCTTAACGAGTCTAAACAATTGTCTGCTATTACCTATTGCCGCTGCCTTTTCCATCTCTCTTGCTTTTGCTACCCACCACTGTTCGCGATCATTGCGTAGACTTCTTGTCAGCTTGCGCTTAAGCTGACTCCGCTCTTCACTATGTTCAGAGCCAGGTGGAATGTGTTTCCGAGCATTTATCAGTGAGATAGATGCTGCTGAGATCCAGTGTTGCTCCCTAACCTTCTGGTTTACCTTACTAGCAGATATCACTGCTGTTTCCACAGCTTTTCGGATATCATTCCATGCTGCCTCGGGGTGGGCATCACATACATGGCTGCCTAACTGTTTTCCTAGTTGTTCCTGAAATATACTCTTAGCTTGACTATCATTAAGTAGGGCCCTAAGAGGTTTCCTTGCAGCATCTTTCCTACGTCCAGTAAGACGCAAGCAAATACGCGCTCGCACTAGAGCATGATCTGAATCTAGGCATGTGCTCCAGAATGAGCGACAGTCTTCTATCGAGCCCCTCCACCGGTGGCTGATAGCGATGTGATCTATTTGGGTCCAACGTTGGGACGAATTAGGGGGTCGCCATGTTAAAAGATGTTTTTCCTTATGCTTAAAGTTAGTATTCACAAGAAAAAGGCGGTTATCTGAGCATAGCTGCAACAGACGGTCGCCATTATCTGTTCTTTGAGCCACGACACCATAGGATCCACCTAGGTGTCTTTCCCTATCGCTTAGTTTACCTACTTGAGCATTAAAGTCACCGGCCACTATTACTACATCCGAGCGCTTAGCTTTTCGGAGAAGGTCCGAAAGCTTTCTGTAAAATTCATCTTTTACATCATCTGAGCTGCAGTCAGTGGGAGAATAGGCAGAGACGACGAAGAGGCAACGACGAGTGTCCCTATCTTTCCGGATTCTTACTGTTCCGTCCAGTCGGACAGCGCACAAACGACTGTTTACTGGGATCCACTCTAAGAGAGCTAGTTCTGCCCTAGGACTCAATGCTATACCTACGCCGGCGAGGCCACGGGAAGCAGAATCAGGGATTCCAGATACACGAAGCGTAAATCGAGTCGGTTCTTTATCCTGGCATGGTGAGGTCAAATGAATGACGCTACTCGGATCTTGTATGCGCGTTTCGGAGACGCAGCACACATCGATGGCGCGAGATTCTAAAGTCCTAGCTAAGGAAGCCTGCTGTCCTATTTGGCACAGTGTTCGTACGTTAAAAGCTCCTACGTGTAGTTTAGAGCGTGGTTTCAGGAGACCAGGAATGGCGTTCCACGTACTCGAATCGTTTGCCCTAGCGGTGCGAGGTGATAAAGAGACGTGAGGAGGGTTAGTCGGGAGGATAAGAGAGGTATTAGGAGGTGTAGGAAGGATTTGAATGTGACCACCTTGGTCTCTTGTGCTGTTACGGGTATGAGGGCTGATGTCACTTCCCGGCTGCCCACACCGTGGAAGGGTATTTCTTGAGGAACCTGAAAAGGAAATTGGATTAGTGTTGGTCTTAACGGCCTGGGAGCGTGACCGCAGAGCCCAAGGGACAACTGCTTGAGGCCGGTCGCGCACGGCCTTTTTGTGGAAGGTTTTTGACGTGTTAGCTCCGTTCTTCAAGGGGCCTTACCGCCGGAGACGGAAATCCGTGAGGTAAGGTGAGGTGTGACATTTTTAGGGTCGACCTTTTCTAACCCCACCCCTCCTTGTGGGAAGGCAGCATCGCTGTCATGCTGGTTGTCCGAGGGAAACACCTTACTGCTGTCACACCTCTCTACAGTCAGCAGTACGACTTCGCCCTCAGACCTTAAGTTGCTGCTTTTAGTCTTACCGTTCGCCAATCGACCTGCCTGGCATGGTAGAACCTGCAGGAACATATGTTCCAGCCAATATAGCTCGGTTGGGTCATCACGATAGGCAAGCCCGACCACCGCGTCAAGGTAGCAGCTTCGATCGGGTGTGCCTGGTCCTACGTTGTAGCTGACTGACTGATGTTGACCAACGATACTAGACATTACAGGAGCTAAGCCACCCCATAGAACTCTTGGACACCCAATAACTTGAGACATCATCTCGTCATCTTTAGCTCTTTCCTCATCAGTAGCGCGTCTATGCAGTCATCCACTGTTGAAAGCGACATCTCCATTTTTTAAGGTTATTCTACATATACTCCAATCAAAAAGTGACAATCGCCTCTCCTTAATAACAACTGCTCCCAGCCCCAAGAATATGTTGACCAACTTTTCTGACTAAGTTCGCCAACAGCTCATTCAACGGACCCCACTTCACCCGTCACTCCCAACCTTGTCTCACGTCACTTCCTCATTCAGCATGTTGACCATATACTAAACGATCGACATGAATACAAAGCTGACTGCTTAAATAGTTATCAAACCAATTCCTTACTTATTGAACTAGTCGGTGATTTAGCCAATTTCATTATAGTCACAGCTTTCATTATTTCATTAGCGGGTAGGAACTGTGGAGATTTAGATATTACCTAGTGTATAATGGCTTCCCATGAACTGACCGCTTCATAGTCCTATCTCCGCTTCAGCCCAAAACCATGTATTGAAAAGGTAATGAGAAATTATTTTCCACCTTACAGGTACGATGCTCTGTACGCTATTGAGTTCACCAACTAAACGAGCTGCATCCACCTTAATTTATGGCTAATGAAGGAAATAGAGACGTCCAATAGACTTAAAATCGGTGTTGTTAACATGTAACATGAACTAACCGCTTGATAAATATGCACTAAAGATATACAAACTAATCTAATCAAGAACAGCTTTTTGAGCATCACCTGTCCTTTTTCTCGCCTCTTACTAACATCTTACCATACTGTGTAAATAGCCAGACCGAGTCGACGATATCTACTCTCATGTCTGTCAGCTACTTTTAACCACAGAAAACAAACATTGTAATGACTATAAACAGGTATACAAGCCAGCTTAGAATTTCTACGTAAACAAATTAGTAGTATTTAAGAGTAGGTAACGCGTTATTATGAGGACAAACAGTGACGAACTGTATCAGTAAACGGCTTTAAAATGTTCATTTCCAAGAGATAAAGGAGTCACATTAGGTCATCTACATAATACCATAACACTCCAAATTATAAGCTCCTGAGGGCTATCGAACTTTACGGCCACCCATTTAATTCATGAAATATGTAAGAGTGAAACTGGATTTTTGAAGTATTGTGAGATGTATGTATGAATATAAGCCACCTGGAACTATAATCCTAGAAACAATTCACACTTACCCTACAAACTATACAACACAACTCAAAAATAGGGACTACAATGTTCAAACTGTAAAGGTCATTGGACAGATATGGTTCGAAAGCTTCAATGATTGTGGAATGGATGGAAGGAGTTTTCACCTAACCATCTTTTGTGCCTAGTGGCGGTTGATCATCGGTGCCTTCAGGAAGGGGTCTAGGTATATGAAGCAAACAGAAGTAATAGAAGTACAGGTATATTGTTATTATTATAGTTACTACTACTACTACTACTACTACTACTACTACTACCACTACTACTACTACTACTACTACTACTACTAGTAGTAGTAGTAGTAGTAGTAGTAGTAGTAGTAGTAGTAGTAGTAGTAGTAGTAGTAGTGGTAGTAGTAGTAGTAGTAGTAGTGGTAGTAGTAGTAGTAGTAGTAGTAGTAGTGGTAGTAGTAGTAGTGGTAGTAGTAGTAGTAGTGGTAGTAGTAGTAGTAGTAGTAGTAGTAGTAGTAGTGGTAGTAGTAGTAGTAGTAGTAGTAGTAGTAGTAGTAGTAGTGGTAGTAGTAGTAGTAGTAGTAGTGGTAGTAGTAGTAGTAGTAGTAGTAGTAGTAGTGGTAGTAGTAGTAGTAGTGGTAGTAGTAGTAGTAGTGGTAGTAGTAGTAGTAGTAGTAGTAGTAGTAGTAGTGGTAGTAGTAGTAGTAGTAGTAGTAGTGGTAGTAGTAGTAGTAGTAGTAGTAGTAGTAGTGGTAGTAGTAGTAGTGGTAGTAGTAGTAGTAGTAGTAGTGGTAGTAGTAGTAGTAGTAGTAGTAGTGGTAGTAGTAGTAGTAGTAGTAGTAGTGGTAGTAGTAGTAGTAGTAGTAGTAGTGGTAGTAGTAGTAGTAGTAGTAGTAGTAGTGGTAGTAGTAGTAGTAGTAGTAGTGGTAGTAGTAGTAGTAGTTGTAGGAAATACTGTTGAGATTCCCTGGAAATAGGTGGATTTGCCTTTCAAATGGCTACAGAGAAGTTTTTTAAACTACTTCGGTCGGTGGAGTTCCCATGGCTTGACTACTTGTAAGGAGTAGAATGTATACCTAGGTCCAGTTTGCTGTGTCGCCCCCCTAATTTTTGGAAGTCACCCTTATGGTTTAAGTTTGGACTGAGCTTAAGTACATATTCCGGAGGATGTTCGGGAAAGTTTAGAATGTTGTCGGCCATTAAAATATTACCTCTTATTCTCCTACACACTAATGAGTAGAGGCTCGCGGATTAGAAGCGTTTTTCATAAGATTTGGCTTTGAGTCCCCAAACTGATTTCATCTCTCGCATTGAGACAGTCCATAATATTCTTATCCTTGCGGAGTAAAAGAGGAAGTGCTATGTTTTCGTATTGTGAACAGGGCCTGGTGAGACCTTGAAACATTGGGTGAGATGTTCTGTCGAAATAGCCAAATATCCGCTTCAAAGTTACTGGTGCAAAGATTGCTATAAAAACAATTTGTTGCAGTTGGTGAAAGACTTCAGACAGTAAGGTACTAAGACATATCTTCCTCAACCTGTGACCATTCTAGAGAGGGGGTTGTGCGAGTTGTATTTGTAGTTCAGAACATATTGAAGATGGACTACTTTACACGTTGAAGTGTTGAGTCATACCCTCCTGAGGTAAATATTTATCGTCCCAGGTGTAGACATTCCCTCAACGCTTAGTGCCATCGACGGAAACCAACTCTCTACTGGGTATTTGCCCAGGAAAGTCATTGATATGAATTGGAAATAGCAAGGGTCCTCGTACTAAACCCCATGTGACCCCAGTAAGACTTTGTAGTCTGTGAAAATTAGTATTTTACCTTGAACTTAAGAATCCGGTTATTTAAATATGATTCAGATTAGTCTACCAGTGGGGACTGAGAACGTATCAGCTTGAGTTCACAGATAATACACTAGTGATCAACACTATCAAAGGCTTTAAATAATCAGTGGATACACTGTCTGCCTTGCCCTTACAGTCACGGATTGTAGTCCATCTACTTGTTTCGGTCAACAAGTAGTTAGCGGGGAGTGAACCTTTCAAAAAGCATGGCGTTGGGATAAGAAAAAAGTTACTGGACGTTTGATGGTTGTGCGTGTGTAGTAGGCCCATTACACTATTGTATTATTTATTCGTTCACTGTAATTAAGACACTTGATCCACCATGTATTTTTCTGTGTGAGTCTGATTGGGTACATGTCAATTTTTAATCTATTCTCCCATTGGTTTTAATACACAGACAATCAATAATTTATCCATACTTGACCAACACTCAACAAATAAATATGGGTTTTTAACACATACACACACTCTCTTGGTTTCACTGTGTGGTTGCTTGCTGTACGCTTGCGGATATTATTAATCTTTATTAATAAAATATCTATACAACTGCTGTTCAGGCTTCTGAATAATCTCGAGTAAATCCATAACTCTACTAGGAGATTTAGCCAGCGTTAAATACTCAGTTAACAGGATATCATTGGAGTCAGATATAGAGGATACTTGACTTTATACGTGTCGTCAGAATTTATGGGTCCCCTTACCTTTGAAGATATCGGAGGGAATCACTGGTTGTTAGAACAGTGAATCATTGATTGAGCATTCCTCGGCCATCAGGGTGATGTGTGTCATTTTGTGCAGTAAGAAATCCCCGTGAGGATACACATCAAACCGGGTGTATACTTCTCGTTATTCCTGCTCCGAATTGTTGTTTGAAGGTGACATATCACATCATTCGAACTTCCGGCCCTTGTGGTTCGCTAGAGGTTTTAGTTCTGTCTGATCACTTTTCCTATGATTGGGTGTTTGTCAACTGAAGATTCTTTGCTTTAGAAGGTACAGTATAAGCATGGTGTTGTCTGACTGTTTCTGTACCGAACTGCTGACTTCACATTTTCAAGTAAACCTGGCCTCGTAATTAGATCGAAGAACAGCTAAGTCAGCTTTAAGAAAGTTAGAATGTTCGAGACAAATAAGACGGGCTAATTCTTTCAATACCTGACTGTTGTGATGAGATCCAATAATAAGTTTTCAATAAGCAACTTCAGCCGGACAACTTGAGGAGTTTAACCATCTCAATAAGCACAATAAAAGAGCACATGCAATGTGTAACCAAGGAGGAACGTACGTACATGGGAATCCACTTCCCATACGGATTTTCCATCCCATCCTAAACAAGGATATGACGGATATTCCCAGCTCTCGATCCGTAACTTGAGGTTCATATTTCTTAGATATTCCTATCAGATGAGCGTTATTTGGATTACTAAGTTTAAACAACTCACCCACTTGGTTCAGAAAACTTTCAGCATTCTCACTTGAGCAGTTGACGCTCTTGACTTGGAGCGCATCTGTGTTCTTTTCTCATTTGTCTGAATGCAACTTATGTGAATGGACAGGAAACCCTCTTACTTTAGAATCTTTAAGCACCATAATAACATGGTGACTAGGCGTAAATAAAAGAATGTAGTTATGGGTATATGTTTCGCTCGAAATAAGGAACAAAGACATATCACCATACAGAGCACATGAAAGGGAGATTTTTGCCCAGATTATAGACAAAGAAATGTGATGAAACGCTTACAAAGAACCCAGTGAGAGCATTTCCAGAAAATATTACCTTTACTGTGGTTGAAGAAGATTAACACTTCGATTGTGTTATTTTTCCTAACGGGACTCTCTCTTTCCAATGATGCACTCTGACTTCAGTAGTTTCTTTACTACTGATGAGCTTTCAGAAACACTGGGATTATTGAATATCAACACTAGACACTGTTGGTCCCTTCAAAATGACTCTTGTGACAATTACTATTTGTAGCGATTAAAATTTTTCAAATGGTTAAATAAACAAGGTTAAGCCACGAAAACTGAGGTTGTGCTAAAAATCAAGAGATTTCAGTGTCATGAATCAAAAACATGTTGAAGTCATTTTCTATTTAACCTCCTTTCAGTTATACTCTATGGTGGTTTCCTCTTCTCTGAGTATATCTTGTAAGTCTTGTGACCTGTTGCTGAGAGTTATCTTGAATCAGTTAAGTTTACCAATATCTAAATTTGTCCAGCATTTTTTAGCTTCATTTTTATCTCGGCAATCACCAGGTGGTGATCTGAAGCTATATCAACTCTTCTCTTGGTTCCCACATCTTCCATTGACCATCTAAACATTTTATTGATGCAAACATGATAGATCTGGTTCTCTGTAGTGTGATCCGGTTAAATCCATGTGGCTTGGTGTATGGTTTTGTGAGGGGGATATTGTGCAAATATATTGCCATTCTCGTTCTTTTCTCCTAGTCCATGTCGTCCCATGATATTTTCATATCCGGTGGTGTCCATTCGGACATTGACATTTAGGTCTCCCATCAGGATAGTCAGGTCCTTTCCTGGGCATTTCGCTATGATCGATTGCAGCTTCACGTAAAACTGACCTTTATCGTCCTCATCGCTATCATTGGTGGGTGCACAACATTGGATAATATTCACTGTAATTTCTCCTTTGTTTTGAAGGATGTTTAGATGATCCTGGGTCCATGAAATTCCCATCCTATGAGTGCTTTCTGTGCTTCTTTGGACAGTATCAGAGCAACTCCCTAAGTGTGTGGAGCGTTTTTTTCTTTGTGACCCGAGTATATCAGCATCTCTCCTGAATCTGTCGTTTTCTGTCCAGCTTGGATCCAATGGGTTTCACTGATTCCGAGAACCACCAAGTTGTATCTTCTCACATCTCTAGCTATTTGACTGGTCCTCCCAGTTTCCCACATTGTCCGGACATTTGGCATGCCTGTATTGATTGTTGCTGTGGTTGTTAGAAGGGGCATCGGCCTCATGGCTTCCGAAGAATTCTGATTTTCACTATGAGGCGTTATAATTCTTCTGAATCAAGATCCTTCAACTATTGGGGGAGAGTTTAATTTGTTTAGTTTGGTTAGCGTTTTTTAGAAAGGTTTACTACGGGGTGTGGTCACCGACCCTATACCCAACCCTCCTCCTTTATCCGGTTTGGTACTGACAGTAACCCCAGAACATCAACATGCGGAATCATGTTTTGACCAAAGCATTTAAAATGCGAAGACCGAGAGGCTTCATTCTCAATGCATTTTTCAAAATGGATCTAGAATCATTAATAATATAATACATGCAAGATCTATCGCTGAATTCTGTTCGTCATTATCTTCTGATTTATGCCTATCTGACATACTGAGGATGGAATTAATACAACGGAATTTCACTAGCAAAATGCTTAAAATCGATGCACCCATTGGCTGTTGTTCCCGAAACCAGACCCTAGTACTTGAACCCCACTTTCTTGACTTTTTATTAATTTCATGTCTTTACATATTGCTCTATTTATAATTTATATATTCCTTTACTTTTCCGCTCACTTCAGTAAACATTTGTCCGCTATTACACTCTTCTGAATGTTTGTGCTTTATTTATAACCTTTAATCTGTACTATTGTCACTTGAATCACTGAGTCGATGTCTCACCTGCAGTTTATACTTTGTAACCACTTGACAAGCTTGTAAAGTAGTACCTCTAGAAATGATGTTTACCAAAAGCATATGAAGCAGAAAGCATCGTGTGGGACATAATATTTTATCTAAATATAATCTTGAAAAAGTCCAACATCACAGAAGGAGGGAGGGTGGAGTTTCTGACCAGCAAGCTTTGATGGTTAGGGCTATGACTTCAATCCCTCTATGTTTATAGGCTCAAACGTTTGTTTTTTGGACAGCTTATGACTGAGGATGAGGCAACCAATCAGTGATTCTGGAATTGTTCTCCTGTGTCCGGTACTCAGAGTCATGTTTCAAATTTTACGTTGTATTCGCTATTATACCAAGGTAACTAAAGACATGCAAACTCAGTCTTTTGCAGTATGATTTGATGAATGAAACCATATGATAAAACTAACTTCGATTTTCTCTGCATAATTCAAACTCATTCCATCTTGTTATACATCATAATTAATTGTTCTTTTTCACTGTATTCTCTTACCTGAAAACCTTTTAACCACATTTTAATCTAGTAGTCAAAGCTACTACGAGTTTTATTTATTTACTTAATATACGCTTGTGTGTTCCACTGAAAACCGTTAGGCATTGTTGAGTTCTATATCCATATACATCGCAACTAGTTTATTTCCCTTTTTGTCAAAATCGCTTCCGTGGTGCATAACTATGGAGCTTCTGACGCATTGATTATATCTGGAACAAACTTAACGCGGGCGTCTTTCAAGAGCACCATTTACACCAAACGCCATCCATATGCCCTTTAAAACACCCACGAATCTCTTGGTGTTATATTGCATGAATACTTACCAACACAATTCTAATACACCGATGATGAGTTTGGATCCGATGAGCCTTAATGAGGGTCACATTGTAGTCAGGATGCCATTCTTGAAACAGATCGTAGAAACTGTACTCAAAGTATATTACTAACACATAAACCTTATTATCAACTCGCTGGTACATCTGCACGAATATAGTGCTGTGTATCTAACAACTCTGCTTGAGAGGCGTCTTATCTCTAAACTAATGTTGTAAATGGCTGATCATGCCTGTAAAAATGGCATGCACGTACCCTGTCAGAAATATGCATAATATTATCGTTATTATTAAGCTTCTATTCTATACGTTGAAAAATGGAGGCGATACGATCATAATGCTACATTTCGCTCGTAATGGCTTTGATCATAATGAATCATGCCTATACTGTACCAATAATCCAAACCCAGATAGATTTAAATTGAGTGTATGTGTCACTCAAACTGACTACGAATAAGCAATTTGAAAAGTGTCTGCGAACTGTGTTACTCACAGACGGATCATGTACTTACGACTCCTGTTCTCTCCTATTCATTGACAGATGGATTCTCACATATACTGATGGGTCCTTCATGACCTCTGAATTATTAAATCTGCAGAAAGTAATGTTCAAAACATGGGGCCATTAGATGTACCTAACAGAACACTTTACGTTTATGATGTACTACTTTCATAGGATTTGCGTTTTTCAAACTTGCATCCACCCAGATGAAACAAAAATACTATTTCTGGTTCAAAGTACCAATCCTACGCTTAATGTTCTACAGACCAACGATCTTTTAAGTGTTTAGTTTGGATCAATCGTCAATGGATGTTTAGCTATGTTCGCTATTTGCCCCAAATGCCCTGGTATGATCGAGAGCGGGGTGGGCCGCCCTACCTCTCGAAATGCTCTCACACGGCCACGCGTATACAGCCTCTGACAGGGAGGTCCTACTCACTGCCTTCTCGTGGCGGGAGTGTTGTTTACGAAAGTGAGAGGACGAAAAGTGAACAGGATGCCAAACTAATGGTGCACATGGGCTCCAGTATCCTGAAGGAACAAATGGAGTGTGAACCATTCGTTGGTCACCGGCTACCACGGGACCGCATCTTCTCACGATACTCCACTGCCTTGTGAGTCAGACCTTTGGGTCAAATGCTCGGGGTGTGACCCTTTAAGAAAACCACCTGCTTCGGTCTGGGCACCCGGGCAGTATCACAGCCCACACACAAGTGTGATGAAATGTCGATATTGATTTTATTCAGATTCTAGGCTTATTTGTTCATAACTTTAACCCTGGACATTCTCAACTTCACACTTTTGATTTCGTATTTTGGAAATTTTTCTACGGGAACCTAAAAAAATAAACGTCTGTTGTTTAATTGTCATAATTACTAGAAGACTAGTATTTTTGGATTAGGCAATCGCCATTTACGAATAAACTATAAGTGCTTCAAATTGAATATGGTTCACTTGAATTTTGGGCTGTTACTTACGAGTGGTTCGATCAACGGTGCTTCAAAAACAAACCAGAGCAAGGTTTAGGTATAACAGACAATACTGTACAATGAGTCCACAGTCGTTATAAGCTACGTGAGAAATATCACGTCGTGACAATGCCGATATTGATAAGCGTATACCTGTATGTCATATTCTATTGTGGAGGCAAATAAACCCCAAAATAAATAGTTCTGTAAGTCTTCTACATTTGATGCTGACCTCATTAGTTTTACTGGACACATCTAGCTGAGGGAGCTTGGTCAAGCATCTGCACCAGATCACGAGTGAGTACGTCGTGCTATGCAACTCCTATAACTGTTAGCCAGTTTAGATCAAACTCTTTTCTACATATTGATATCTTTCAAGTATAACTTCGAAACTCTTCACTCCTGACTTCTGATTTGACTGGGTTGCCATAGTTCGAGCACAAAGGCGTTACTGACAAAGGCTTTGTCAAACTCCGAATACTTGTAGTATCTTTGGTATGCTAAAACGTTTTGGATATCTCACCCTAAATCACAAATACTACCTAGTTGTCCATCATATACCTTGTTGAGATGCAAACAGATTTATGAGTTAAACACACAAAATATTGGTGTATAGTAGTGAAAATAAAATAA